ATTTCTTTACATATTGTGTACTGTTTGTGGGTATGCTATCCACTTTACTTATACTGTAATCTGTGTTTTTAATGTCGGTTGTTTTAAATTCTGAGCCCCCCAGAATTGTCCTGGAGTTGATGGTGCCGAAATATATTAATACTAATAAATCAGGTCACCAAAAATGTAAGAAGAGCCTTGCCCAGAGCCCATGACATGTTCCTCCACTCCATTCTTTGATTCAGAAATTAAACTGATCACCAAGAGGCAGTATGTGACCATTTTTGAAACATGGCCACTTAGGGGACCACAGATGGATTGATTCTGTGCCATCAAGTCAGTGAATAACATTAACAACCTCAAAGGAACATTTTCTCCCTAACAACCTGTCCCCAAGCCCCCTCCAGCCTCTATAAAAAAGGGAAGGGTTGCAGTCCCTCTTTATAGGCTTATGCAAATTAGAATAGACAAGTCATTGGATGTAGCAGCAAGGTATTTGATTGGGTACAGACAAGAACAAGCTTTTGATTGGATATAGCATATCATGTGTCTAGTGAGATCAGTTAGGCCATTAGGGTGTAACTATCAGGTAGTGGGGCAGGATTACAAAGACATGGGTGGTTTTGAAAAAACAAACATGCAAATTTCCATGAAACATGGTTTCTTTCAAAGGAGTTACAGGGCCTCTGCTCACCTCATGTCCCTTTTCCCAGCCTCTCAGCATTCCTTGGCTTTCTCTGTCTCTTTTTAAAAAAATATTTGTTCATTATAATTTTTCAATACAATAAAAATATACAAAATTAAAAGGAGATTAAGAAAAAAAAGAATATAAGAAATAAGAATGAGAAAAAAGGAAAGAAATGAAAAAAGAAAGAAAACAGACATTTCCCTTTTTCTTTGACTCCTGTTAATCCCCGAGTGTTTCATGTATATCCACAAATGTTTCTTCTCCCTGAATATCTAGAGACAATCCATCTCTGATGAAGTGACACTAGAGTGGGTTATGACAATTACTGTGCATTCACTTTCAAGCCATCTTTAGTTTTTGCCGTTAGCTGCTCCTTTGTATTCAGGTCAGGTCTTAGCAAAACAATGTAGCACTTGGGGATGAAGATGCAGCCCAGCAGGCCCATGCCAGAGGCCAGGATGGAGAAGACTTGCACAGTCACCATGTACTTGCGCTTGGTGCTCAGGTAGGTGGGCACAAAGGAGATCCAGACACTGCAGAAAACCAGCATGCTGAAGGTGATCAGCTTGGCTTCATTGAAGGCCACAGGCAGATTCCTGGCCAGGAAAGCCACTGTGAAGCAGATGGTGGACAGAAAGCCCATATAGGCAAGGGCAGCATAAAACATGGCAATGGAGCCTTCATTGCATTGCAAGACAATCTGCTTCAGCTGGGAGTGCATGTCAGCCTCAGGGAATGGGGGAGAAACATCTAGCCAGATGATACAGATGGTAACTTGGAGACTGGAGCAAGTAAAGACAATGGAGTTGGCCAGAGTTTTTCCCACCCACCTCCTCACGGTCTTCCTAGGCTTTGTGGCCAGGAAAGCCAGAACCACCGTGATTGTTTTGGCCAAGACGGAAGAGATGGCAACGGAGAAGATGATGCTAAAGGAGGTTTGTCGGAGAAGGCAGGTGGCTGGCTTTGGACGACCAATGAAGAGCAGGGAAGTCAAGAAGGAAAGCAGGAGAGAGACCAGGATGATGTAGGAGAGGTCCCGGTTATTGGCCTTGACTATGGGAGTGTCTTGAAATTTCACGAAGATTGCTAAAACAAAGGCTGTGCCTGAGGACAAGAAGAGGGTAAAGGATCTCAGGATCATCCCCAAGTCTTCTTTGTACGATAGGAAGGTTATCTCCTTGGGGACGCATTTGTTTTGGTCTTTATTTGGATGGTGATCTTCTGGACATGTTCTGCAGTGCTCTGCATCTGGGGAGAAGACAGTGAGGAACTTCATGACCCCTTGTATTAATATAACATGATCCTAATAAAATGGTTCATTGAATATGGGAATAATAAGTTTGGGCTAGGATATTGTGCCTCAAAATCCAGGTATGTCAAAGGAGAAGAATGAATTTAAAACTCTCTAGGAGGAAGTAAGAAGGAGGACAGCTGGGATGAACAAAAAGAATGAGTGTGTTGAAGCCAAGAATAGAAACAGGCTGGCTGGAGCTGAGAGGAAGGTCCCAAGGGGGGAAGAGTCTCCTAGGACCTATGTCACCAGACAGGCTAATCCCAAGCCTGTCCCAAGGAAATCCAGATCCTGCTCAATTAGAACTCCACTCTCT